TATATATATATATATATCTCTACAATAAATCACCAAGAAGCCTGAATTAATGGCTATGGAGGTATGGGAAGTGATGGGTCGAATAACCCTAGGTTTTATCAATTTGTCACTTTTCTTGTTTGTTGCATTCAATAAAGAGAATGAGAAAATCATGGAGAATCTCATGGCGGAATTGACAAAAATGAATGAAAAATCTTCAAATATTTTTTTTTTTTGAAGGGGTTATTTAATATGAAGATAATGAAAAGGAGTTCTAAAGATGAACATTTGAACAATTATAACACCGTAACTAGTCAACAATGTTCTATAGGGATCAAATTTGTTGATGAGGTTAGAGCAATGTTATTCTATCTTTGTTACTAGACAACATGGATAGTTAGGTTGCGGAGGTGAGTAACAATTCTGGGAAGATGCAGTTGAACTTCACTGAGATTATGGGGTTGGTGTTGAATGAAGAAGTTTGTAGAAAAGCATTGAACGGTGAATTTTCAGGTTCAGCATTGAATGTTGATAACAGTGTAAAGAATTTGGACAAAAATACTTGTAGAGATAGAGTCAAGTCTAAGTGCAAAAAGTTTAGTTTAGGAAGAGGAAATAGCAAAGGAGAATGCAGAACTACGGTAAGAAAGAGCATTTTAAAAAGGACTGTAAAACTTTAAGAAAGGTTGGTGGTGGAGGATAAGAAATGAATCTTGCAACAAATGTCCTTTGATGGGACCAGAAACCCTCATAGCATGTTGCATATTTTCGAACAAGTTGTTGCAACGCAGAGGGTAGTGACGCTCTTTTATTTTTTCAGTGACGCTCTTTTGACTAGTACACCAAGCTTTTGAACGGGTATTTCAAGACCTTAGCCAAATTATAAAATCTCTTCATCCAATGCTTCACCGGAGCACAACACCACATCACGGTTGGTGACCTGGTCGTAGAAAAATAGAAGCCTGAGGAGACTCTTGTGGACTACTTCTTTTTGTTGACCTCCTTTTGGTGAGGTCTCTTCTTTCCTCTAAATTTCAGGATTCAGCCATAGGATCTTCCTATTGAGTCTCCTAGAAAACTAATGATGGGACCTACCCAAATTATAAACCCAAACCACATCTTGGCTCTTTGTAGTCTCATTTGTAATGTATTAAGTCCTCAACACTTATTTGAGTTGATTAGGACCAACACAACGAGTTCCTTTAAGAATGGAGGGTGTTATAGGGAGACCCTTTGTAACTTGGAAATCTCACCCGCATTACACCATATGCATATTCACACAGACCACATCACCATCTTAATTTACATTCACCAACACCACACTCACGCAGACCTGCCATTAAAATTGAAACCAAACTTCCCAAAATTAAGAAAAAATCAATATCAATTTAAAAATTAAAATCATCATGTCGAATTTAATGTCCCAAGACCACCATCCCAAATCCACCATCACCCAAATCCATTGAATCCACCATCACCCAAGTTCACTAAATCCACCATCCAAAATCCAAAATCAACCAAATCCAAGTCCACCAAATCCAAATTCAAATCCATCATAATCAATTTAAAGCCTCATCAAGCCCACTCACTAAATTGTAATCAAACTTAATAAAGCCCACCAAGACCAAGATCAAATCCAAAATTAAATTAAAATGTAAAGCCCTCATCCTTTCATCACATTAAAATTTAATCAAGCAAAAGGTGGATGGTTACATAATCCAAATGACTAAATTTGAGCTCACAAGAAAATAATTTCAAAAGGTAAAAATTCACTCATACCTCTGTAAAGCAAGCCATGTAAGCAATGCCCAAGCCATTTGGCCTTACTCAAGCATCAAACAAACCAAGGAGCCATGCATGAGCCTCATGAAAGCCATCATGCCATTTATGGCTAAAGGAGGCCACCCTTTCAAGATTGTCCCAAAAGTGCTTAACCACTCTCATGCCTTACTTAAACCTAAAATTAATCCATAATTTGCATGATTGGGACATGTCGACCCAAGCCCCCCATGCTAAACAACAGGTCTAGCCATCAAGAGCGGTGAGCCAAACCCATTTGTATGACTCAAACCCAAACTCCTCCCCCCCAAAATCAACTCAAGAAAATTCCATTTAAATCAATCCCACCCATAAATAGCATAACCCAATTGACTTCATCAACCTCCACCACTGACCTCCCACACCCACGCTCCACCACCCCACAATGACCAGTGGCAAGCCCAAACCCGAGAGCCACCCAAAGGGGGAAACCCAAAATTGAGCACATCCAATGTGACTCGCCCCCATTGGACATTTGCCCCTACAATCTCTCCACCTAAGCACCACCTTGCACCCCAAAACTTAGTCAATGGAAACCCCATGGTTGAGCTTATAGATAGACCACCATCACAGAAAAAAAAGAGATGCACATAAACCTTGGCGAAGCCTTGTCAAAATTTCTCCAAACCATCTCATAACCCTTAGCTGCCTCTCCCCACCAATTCCAAGCCATCTCCGCCTCCATAAAACCCTAATTTTATTTCTAAAGTTCAAGGCATTTTCGGTCTTGGAATCAACCTCACCAAAACTCCATTTTTAAGTCCCCCAAAAGCTTTGTCATAGCCTAAACCCACCTCCCCAATCAAACCACTCTCATAACTCTTATCTAGTTGTATAGCTGTTTTTTCTTTTACATCTCACTAATTCTGGCTTCAAGCTTGTCTCGTACTCCTTGTAGAGTATCCAGCTTCTAGCAATACATACATTCATGCATTTTTTTTTCTTTTTGTAATTTTTTATAAAATAATTTATGTGTTTTTTCGCAGTTTGTCACAGTATTTCTGCTAAGAATGGAGACTCATTTTTTATACATGACTTCATGTATCTTACCCATCGACTGCTTACAATAACTATATATGAATAAATGCTTTGAACAATGATAGACCCAAATGTTGGTTGAATTTAGTTTTTTAGTTTCATTCCCAACTTGGTATAAATCATCAGCTTTAGATTTTTAAGATAATAATTTCATCGGTTTATATTTGGGACTATAAGACTTGCTACTAATTCCAAATTGTATAAATGAGATAATTCATTCCCGTCATTCGGGATAAGTTTAATATAATTTCATATATATATATATATATATAACGATTAAACAGAGTACATGCTATCAAATGCAATAAAATACTAAAAGATAACATAAGTACATATGACTATGACTATATATTTAAAATGTATTGACTATATATTTTTGAAAAGCATAAAACAACTCCTGAGAAAGTGCTTTGCAATTTGAGTACATGATTCCGTTTAACAATATTAATTGAATCCAATAGAATCCAGCCTGGTGTCCTTAGGATTTATTGAGATTTAAAAATTATAAATTCAGAAAATACACCAAATATTTTAATATTTGTTTTTTAAATAAGATATTTTCTTTATTTGGTATTTAAAATATTGAAAAATAAGAATTAATACGAGTCTAAAATGAAGCGAAAAAAGTAGCCACTCAAATGTGAAGATTAATTTTTTGAAGAGATTAGATGTTGTTGATTGAAGATACTCTTCATTTTTTGAAGAAATTAAATTTTAGCGTTAAAAGCATGTCATAAAAAGTTCATGATGCTATTTTAAAACAAATAGGGTTAGTATAGCTTTATAGAGATCAGCTATAATTGAATTTTCTAAAAATTTAATTTGTAATTTATTGAAAAAAAAAAAAGATAAACCGATAAATAAATTGTAATATTTTATCAACTTTATAATATTAATAAAGAGTAACTATTGATAAAGAGCGAGATAGAGTTTGTTAATGTTCAGCTTATTTATAATTTATTATTGTTGAATCATTTTTTTACATGGGGTCTTGTATATTTTTTGGGTTAAACAATTTGGGAGACACCTGTGTAATGAAGGTGAATGAAGATGATGGATTTGTTATTTAGATTTGAATTTTATATTTTCTTTTTCGATCATCC